GTTTTCGTTATAGACATATATATATATATATATATATATATATATATACACTTGAGCAATCGCTTTTCGCGCTAATTTTTATTCATCTTATTTTCTAGAAAGTGCGTGCAATGGATCCACCGGTGATACCGCCATCCCCGCAGATCTCCTCTGTAGAGGCCCCTCTCGGAGCAGCCAGTCCATCCTTGCACTTCGAAACCCTTATCACGCTTGAGATGATCCAGAGCGTTACGATCAACCGGGAAAAGCTCTCCGAGTGGCATCACAAGATACGCTCGAGGCTTTTCCCGCTCGTTTCGGGGTTCTTTGTGCGTTGCCGCGTCGAGGACTCGCAGGATGGGAAGGCGCTCTACAAGGTCGGACGGATAAAAACCTTAAAGCAGGACTGGTCGGTCGAGCTCGACCTCCTCACGACGGAGGAGATTCGCACGGGACGAAACAACACGAACTACGACTGTGTGAGCAACGCGAAACTCACCTCGACCGAGTTCTCCGCGTGGATTTCGCACGTGCCGCAGGAGACCTTACCGGCGATCGCCGCGATGGTCTTCCGGATGGAGGAGCGGCTGCGGATGCTGGAATCGCTCATCCTGGTCGAACCCGCCTTCCACGCGCGGCGGCGGGATGAGCGACGACGGGAGGAGGCCGGCGCCGCCCCCACGGCGAACGGCACCGAGAAGTACGTCTTTTCGCAGAACATCCTGCTCTGCGAGGATGACGGGGTGAGTTTGCCGCACACGGTGACGATTGTGGATTTGTTGCAGAACGCCGTGGGGCAAAAAGGGGTGGCGGAGCCGGATACCCCGCGGGCGGGGGCCGCCCCTGCGATTCGCCCAGGCCGCGTCCTCGACGACGCCGTCGCCAGCCACAGCACGATGATGCAGCTGCAGGATATGCGGAATTACATGAACTCCCCCACCCAACCCCCTGTGGATCCCGCGCGGTTAATCGAGATGATCCGCCGCGCGGCGAAGCCGAATCACAACAGCTTCACCTACGACAACCTCGCCGAGTTCGGCAAGCTCGTGATCTCGGTCTGCAACATGTGTCGGGAGGTGGTCGCGAAGGAGCCGCTGTTCGTCCACCTCAAATCCCCAATCGTCGTGTTTGGCGATATTCACGGGAATTTTGTGGATATGGCGTACTTTTTGGAAAAAGTGGTCGCCTTCGATGACGTGATGCTCAAGTATACGACGCAGCATCTGCTTTTTCTCGGTGATTACGTCGACCGAGGGGCGTTTTCGCTGGAGTGTGTGATGTACCTCCTCGCGCTGAAGGTGATCAACCCGTCCAAGGTGACGCTGCTTCGCGGGAATCACGAGTCGCCGGAGGTGAATGGGGATATGGACGTCTACGGTTACAGCTCGTTTAAGTATCAATGCCTTGATAAGTTCGGCCGGGAACGAGGCGTGGATGTGTGGGTGGCGGTGAACGAGGTCTTCCAATTCCTCCCGGTGATCGCCGATATCGACAAACGGATCTTCTGCGTCCACGGCGGCCTCCCACAGTACTCCGGCGGGGAGGATAAACGGCTGGAGGTGATCGCGGATCCCTCCTTTCCCCGTATTCCCGTCGTCCAGTGCGCGGACCCCACCAACGCGGTGCAGCGGATGATCGTCAACGACCTCCTCTGGTCGGACCCCGCGCCGCCGGAGCAGCAGCTCGATCGCTACGGCTTCGGCCCCAACCCACGGGGGCCGGATATCAAAACCTTCGGCTCCCGCGCGGTGGATATGTTTTGTGAGCGCTACAACTACCAATACATCTTCCGCGCGCATCAGGAAAAGGCGGATGGGCTTCGACTCTCGGATAACGCGCGCGTCGTGACCATTTTTTCCACCTCCGACTACGCCGGTCACCAAAACGGCGCGGGCTGCATCCTCGTGAGTAACGGGAAGATACGGATGGCGATCAAAAAACCGCAGCGGGGGGAGGTAAAGGAGCTAAAGGCGCCCGTCTCCCCGCGCGGGCTGTCGAAGAGCATCCCAGGCTTCGTCGCCCCGCGGCTGAAGCGGCTGTGAGATGAACTTGAAGAACCGAGGGGAAGGAACAAGATATCGGGATGGATATATGAATTCAACCGAATGTGTAGATGGATGAAAGGAAGAAGAGAAAGGGGGGAGGAATAATTCATAAAAAGGATAAAGTAAGGAGGCCTAAGGTAGCAAAAAAATTTTTTAAATAGCAATCTTTTTCCTCTTCTTATATTCATATATATATATCTATATACGTACGTGTGAAAATGATTTTTCTTCTCTTCGCTTGCTTGTTTGTCTGCTTCGCATCACAACTGAAGTCTGGAATTTTTCAATTGCATAAATTTAGATCATCCTTCCCATTATCTAGTTGGACATTCCCTTTTCCATTACTTAGACACAAGAGCAGAAATAAAAATGAAAAGATGGTCGTTGTTGTTGTTTTATTCGTTGATTGTTTCTTCCCTCTCTATTGTGAAAATTGAGATGGATTCACGTTAATTTTACTATTTATGTTCCAAATAAAGTAAAACTAAAGTTCCTGCCTATTTATTTTGCTATGGGGAAAGCGATGTGCAGCAGTTGGACTCAGAGTAGATAAAGGGAGGAAATCGATTAAACCCCTCATAAGTTTTTATTTATATCTTCAGATTCAATTTCAGGATGACTTTATCGTGAGTTTTTCCTTTACAGTTTATTGCTATCTCTTTGTTCTGTACTTCGTTATATCTTGCGTGAGCTAAAGGTAAGGCGAAACCAACTTGTTATCTTGAAATCAACATTCTTATTTTTCCATTTATTGTACAAAGCAATGATGATGCGGCGTTTTCTGTGTATGTATGCTTTTGTGAGTAGCAAAATACTATTCGCTTACTCAAGATTTTAAAAAATATAAAATGAAAAACGTCAACGTTTTTTGTTCCACCAATATGTAGTTGATTTTTACTCAGTATGCAAAGTAAACCTCAATGCGAAGGGTTGCATGCTAATGTTTTCTTAATTTGGTACGACCAAAATATGTGTATTAAGTAACTGGTTGAGACATTTTGTAACCATTTATTGACTAAAAAAGAAGTGCTAAGCTGCATCTGGGGTGGAACGCATACCTGGGAGGAGTGGCGAAAGGTGATGTATCAGTTTTCAGTAAATGCGGCATCCGTGCGATTACCATTGCTACCATTGCTATCATTCCTACTAGGAGTTGGTCATTAGGAGTTAAGTTCTGTTAAAGGGCCGAATTACTTTTCTTCCCACATGGCTTTTTTATTATTATTGCTATTAGTATCTTGAAAAAAAAAAGTTAGGAATTATGATCCGTTTGGTGTGCCTTCGAAGAGCGACTTACTTTGTGCAGACGCCTTTCGACTGCCAGCCGATGAAAATCCCTAAAGTCGCTTCGCTAGCCCAAACCATGGACAAAATTATCCCACAAAAAGGTATTTCGCGCGAGGATGAGGTAAAGCTATTATTAGAAAAGCTTCCATTAGCATGCAAAGAGGCGAAGGAGCAGTATCTTGTTGCCCAGCGCGCGAGTCGCTACTACCGAGCGCGGTACGGGAGAGGATCGGAGGTGCAACGAAAGCAGGCTAAAATGGTGCTTGAAATGCCCGATGAGGATGTCGTGCGCTGGGCAAGGAGCCGCTGCATGCTCGTACGGGATCCTTTGGATGCATGAGCGGATCGCGAAGGAAGCCCCCTAACGCATTGGGGTGGTGGAGCGGGGCGAGGCGTGATGCATTCGCGCGCATCGTGGTGGTGGTTTAGTTGCTTGATCGTATTGTCAGTCTCTTTTCATCGTTTATTTAAATCGAATTCCCCCTCTGGGAGGGGGGGTCCTGTACGTTTTGGAATGATGCTTGTATGGTGAAATCCCCGAAAATCTCCCGCGATTCTTCCCATAATGTCTCAACCGCCCTAAGTGGGTTCGTGTGAAGAAGGAAACCCCCCCCTCACCCCTTCCCCCCTTAAAGCAAAAAAATAGTAAAAAAAAAAAAATCCCCCCCCGATCCCGGATGCGCCGTGCTTGCCTTTTCCGAGACGTGCCGCCCGCGGTCGGGTGGGTTTCGCACGTGGGCAAATCCGACGCGGCGCAGTGGGCGGCCCTCCACGCCCTCCTCGAGGCCCCCCCCCCTCTTCCCAACGAGGCGGTTTTCCTCCCCGCGCTGAACACGATG